GTTCTAGCCCCCAGCTGTTGCGTGGAACGGAAGACAGGCAGGATGGCAGATACCAGCTTTACTGCGACAATTACTGCGTATATACCAATTCGCTCACTCTGCCCATGACGTAGGTCATGTCATACCCTGATTTACGCGTTCCTATTGGCCGGGCTCTGAGTGCCCGCATTGGCGGAATCTCGTGCACTATCTGCCCCTAAAGGTCACGATCGAACTGGCGGTGCGCCAATTGCTGAAGCATGCCCGGGCTTGGTGGGTGATACTGACCTGCGGTTTGACTGTTCCCCATCGCATAAAACAGCCGGACAATAATAATGTATCGTCCAGTTCAAGGATGCCCTAATATTTTTCTCTGTTGAAAAAAAGGCATTGTATGTTCGACGAAGAAAGACCCATTAACAGGGACGTCGTACGTTCGACGATTAAAGATGATTAAAAGTCCCCTCGGGGGGGTCGTCTGATTCTAGGGGACCTGGTGACGGCGTCGGCAACAAATCGGACACATAGTTCGTGATTCGGAAGGCTGAAAGTACAAAAACATCGTCGTCTGGGTTTTCGCGATGCCTCAGTATGTTTGCGGGTTTTCTCATATGTCCTCTACTCTCCTCGACGTTCTGTCTAGAGGTCTCCCCCCAAAGCGTTGTCTCGCGTGTGCACCCTTTCATTCTTTTTGTTCATGGTTTTCTTGGTGCGGTTTCTTGGGCGACAGATTTCAGGTACGAAAGGCACACATACGGTTGTCTGCCCAGACAATTTTCTTCAGCGATGGATCGACCTAGCTCGGTGTTGGACGTTGTTCGATGGACCAACGGGAATGTGTTCTTCATCTTCCTTATCGCCCTTTAGAAAGTGCCGACGAAATTATCGGGTTGGCCATTTGACTGACAGCGGAAGGGCGACGACGTCCGTATGTTTGCCGAATATAGCTGAGGTCAAATGGGTCCCACTGTCAGTTACAATCTCTGCTGGTATTCAGTACCTCAATCCCTGAGTCGTTCTCAACGTGTTTTCCGTCGTAGCTAGCCGGACATCGAACATTACGAACATTCATTTACCATGGTGGGAAACATCTTACTGCAAAACGGAACTGTTTACAACGTGTGAATTCTGCTAGAGACTTTGTGGCCTCCGCAAACGGCGCTGGCGGAATTTTCGGAAAGTACTTTGCGAGCCATTTGCTCAGGTCATAACTACGGACAGAGGCTTCAGGGTTTACGTCAGCTCCGAGCCAGCAAATGTTTCTTCTTATTGACTGCTTTGTTCACGCAATGCCTACGTGCCCACTTTTCAGTTTCCGCAATACTGGCCGACACAATAATTCGTCCGTCGTACATTATCCAATCCTGTATGATGTGCAGTTACTCCTACCGATTCATAAGAGCCATCAAAGATATGTTGGTTCTGTTTACGTCGGGCCAGCTATACAGCATACATGTCCTGACTTGGCATAGTTCTTTGGCATCCCGAGCTTCCATGCTTATAACCAACCTGAACAACGCGTCTGTAGTTCCGACTTTCCGCGTGAGGATGTATTAAAGGCTGGAGTCACGATTCAGGAGGATTGCTGTCCGTCGCCGGATCCGTTGCGCAAAGTTCTGTTGTGAGTCACTGTTCGTGTCCAGAAGAAAGTTCAGATTAGAAGGGTCGTGTGCAAAACGAGATGTCTGTTTTATGCAAACTGATGTAATTTTCGGATAGGGGAAATTGTGTCCAAGATTTTTTATTTATCTAACCGTAGTTTCATTTTTCCTTTGTCAATGATCACGCGAAATGCATTTAAAACTAGGTTTTTCTATCCACACTCTTCTGGAGCAAGATTGCGCCTAGCCTTTTGTCCGAAGTGTCGACCTAAAGGATCCCTTCATTAATCAGCATAAAATTTGACAATATCATTGAACGATCGATTATAGACCTTATCCTCGCTAAAGCTCTCAAGACTGCTCCGACCACATGATCGGG